TAACGCCCCCACAATAAAAACGATACATCAATATTAGATTTATTCTATATTCGCAATCCCAATTTGTGAAATCAAAGGAATCGAGAAAACGTGTGTATTCTCAAAAATAAAATATTCCACACCATAACCAACATTTTTAACAACAGTTTCTATACAGACGGTGGACGGTTGATCCCTATGAATATAGAACTAAACAACCGTCTGTATAGAAACTGCTGTTAAAAATGTTGGATCCGTATGAATATAGAACTAAACAACCGTCTGTATAGAAACTGTTGTTGAAAATGTTGGATCCGTATGAATATAGAACTAAACAACCGTCCACCGTCTGTATAGAAACTGTTGTTTAAAATGTTGGATCCGTATGAATATAGAACTAAACAACCGACCATTGTCTGTATAGAAACTGTTGTTAAAAACGTTGGCTCCGAATTAACATAGAACTAAACAACCGTTCACCGTCTGTATAGAAACTGTTGTTTAAAATGTTGGATCCGAATGAATATAGAACTAAACAACCGACTATTGTCTGTATAGAAACTGTTGTTAAAAACGTTGGCTCCGAATTAACATAGAACTAATGGGCAATAGGTCTTTTTCTTCTGTTTCGTAGCACAACACACCGCATTATGTGTGTGTGTATAGGTTTCAATATTATACAGCATATACATGTTTAAGTACAATGTGTTGTATACGAAGACCTTGCTTATATCAAGGCTTTCGACTTGGTGATGGTCCAAGATACGCCTTGCTGACAGCTGCGGATTCTTTTAAAGATATACCTTATAAGCCATCGAGTTTTATTATTTTGAATCCGTCAAAATTGCGATATGATATAATTCGGAAAAACGTAGACGCAAGAGACATGCAAGACAGAGGTTCACATGTCATGACAGCACATGTCGAGTTCTAAAAAACGTAGACATTAAAATCGTTAAAGTTTGCGTACAGAAAAGTAATAAAATTTATATCACTTGCACACGATATACAAGAAAAAACAAAAAATTGAAATTGGAAATGTTTCATATCATAACTAACAGCAGTACGTACTTGTGGAAGATAGGCATAGTAGCTTCAAACGTATGTTCCCTTGAAAACTACCAACCTGTATACAGAATGAAATATTTAGAAAACAAGCGTTTGAAATGCTTTCTACTCAAGAGTTCTAAATGTTAAAATACGCTGACAATTTTGAAAGTGCGCGCATCTCAAATTTATTCAAAATATTTTTTACTTCAGTGCTCAAAATACATTATATTCTACGGAAAATAGGTTTAAGAATATGTATTTGTGAAAACTGAAAAAAAACATTCTTAAGATAGACTTAACAATATGTACTTGATATAGACTTGAGAATACATTCGTAAGATTGACTTGAAAATATAGACTTAAGAATACACGCTTAACGTTTTTTCTCTTAGAGCTGTCTAAGTTACGTTATATTGATAAGAAAAATAGACATTGCAATGGCACATATGTTTTTGTTTACTTTATAGCTGTCAATTTTACGAAGCATTGACAGATACAAGCTGTTTTAATTTTAATACTTAAGTTTTCACTTTTTTCTGTTTTTGTTTTTACTTAATTACGACACTGACATTTGCAGAGGTCGGACAATAACATCTATTTCATCTGACACTGATCAGTATTACAACATGTTAACAACTTCATAAGGTACAAAGATATTGTATATAATGCATTTTATACTTGAAGACTATTACCTTTTAGAAATATTGACTGCTGCGGGTGGCACATGTTAAACAAGTTATGAAATAATAGCATTTTCAGAACGTACATTTGAGTGCTGAAACTTCTAATAAAATGTATCAATAAACATAAACCTTTTTTATTATTATTTTAGAGATAGTATCCTCAAATTACCGGCTGCTGATCGAGATAGCTATACTTGTGACATCATGTCTGTTTATAACTCTACTTTTTTAAAGATCATTTTCAATTATAACAAAATATACAAATATATATTATTAAAACCTTTCTCAGTATAGTGTATTATAGGACGTGTGTTGAGCGAGGCATGAAACATATTTTAACATTTTATTTGCAATGGGTCAGTTTACGAAATTACCACGCTAAAATCTAGGGTTCGATTCCTCGTGATGGAAAGAGAACAGCTAGCTTATTATGCAGCTTTGCGCTAAAACAAACAAACAAACGAAGCTTGAATATATATATAGTTTGTTGCCATACCATAATTTCATAGAATATATATTACACTGTATCCCATAAGCCATGTATTATGTTATAATGTCATTTGTCCATAAATAAACATACCACAATGTAATTGATGCAATTTCGACATAATAATCGCAAAGATTTGAAAAATACTTCATGGTACCCACATCCAAATTCTTCTTTTAAGATATCTCACATTTTGTAATTGTTTTTACATTGTCTTCATGTTGTAGGATTTTCGTATATTTTATGTTTCTTTTAAATATTTCCGTGTCCTTTGAGTTTGTTCGGCGAAGTCATTTATCATCAATTAAACTTTAGGTTACAATGAATGAAAAGATATTCTATGAAGTCGTTCTAATAGTGGTTTTTCCTGTTTCCATAATAAACCACAGCTGTAAGGTATTATGGGCCTTGATGTCCTATTCTTTCAAGACAAGGTAGATTGTTTGAGGTGTGATCTGTCTTCCAAATAAATCAAAATACCCGTACAGGCGTGATTACATGATGACATCACCGATAACACTTATTTTCCTTCAGTCTGAAACAACAGTGTGAACACCTCTCCAGACGTAATAGCTGATTGTTTCAGACTGAAGTACAGCTATTACGTCTGGAGAGGTGTTCACACTTACTTCAGTCTGAAACAATAGTGTGAACACCTCTCCAGACGTAATAGCTGTACTTCAGTCTGAAACAATAGTGTGAACACCTCTCCAGACGTAATAGCTGATACTCAAAGCTACTCTAAAATATATTCACACAGACCCATCCTTCACTGTTTAAAACATCCCAGCTTTGAACCAATCTGCCATTCTTAATTTTTTTTTTTCATTTCTCACTCACAAGGTTTTGACTTGGATGAGGAAACGTTGTTCCTTCTTCAGCCACAAGGCCTTGTGTTCGGTGTTTAAACTAGGTGAAAAAACTTTCGCCACTTATGACGACCGACCATGAGCTCGTTATACCTTTATCTGCCTTATAATTATACTTCCTCAGCTAGTAACGCACCGGTGCATGGAGCCTATACTAGGTGTAGATAATGCAAAACAAGATACAGTTGGCAGTCTCTTAATAATGGACTTTCTCTCGGAAGTTTTTGTTAACATTTAGAAATCGGGATTATAAGTGAATGTTTAACAATATCTATCTTCTTAAACAAAAAAGAAAACATTAACTTCTGACGACAGGATTTAAAACTGGTTAACCATCTAAGAATCAGCTTCATAAATCTAAAGAAAAATATTTATTTGTCTAACGTAACATTCTTGGATCCTTCATGTATCTCGCACATCTAACTATATCTTTAGTTTTCATAACTAGTTTATGCCTTATAAAACTTAATTCTTAATAGATATTAGTCTTCTAATACCAAAGAAAAGTTATACACATGAAATACGAGTTTAGTGTTATTGTGGGAAACTTACAGCGAGAATGGTAAAACCTTAATCAATAAGGATATATGATATACCATTAATAATTTCATTATGAAATTGTTCTGGAAGTTTCCATTGTAGGTTTTCCCTTTACCTCCTTTTCGTTTAATACCACAATATTAACCCATCAACCATCTTTAAAATGGGCCAGTCAGTTCTAGTGGCTAGCGTGTTAACTCGTGGATTAGAAGGTCTAAGGTTCGAGGCGTTTAACACATTCTACACTTACAACTGACTGGTTCCTTCATCCCTTGTAGTTCCAAAGAAAATTAGAAAAACTTTTTTTTATGTACTGAACCGTTCTGGAGGCTGCGTTATTTTAAAAAATAAATAAATATTCTACAACTTTCTCAACTATTTTGGTAACAAACATACTTTATCGTCCTTATTAGCAGCAAGAACAACAAAGTGAGTTTCTGAATCGTGCTTATAATGGAGACTAATCCTACATGAACAATATTAAGGAGGTTATTATTTTAATATAGGTATACGAGAGTGTGTGATGTATTACGAGCATGAAGATACATTTCCATAATGCCTCATCTATAGCCTTTTTATTTCTGGCAAACATAAAGCCGGCAAAATGTGTTTTACTGTTGATATATATTCAACAGAACTGTTAAGTAAGAGCAGAATATTGTTTTACCGTTGAATAAGTTTTTCTTTCACGCCCCTCCCAGTGGCATGTCTGAAGACTTACAACGCTACAAACCGGGTTTTGATACCCGTGGTAGGCAGAGCACAGATAGCCCATTGTGTAGCTTTGTGTTTAATTACAAACACACAAGTTTTTATGCAATAGTTTATCCATTTTTAACTTCAGAACATTCAGAACTCAAGAACAGATATGTATATTTGATTTTTTAAAAGGTTGTTAAATAATATTTGGTGATGTTTCTTAATTGTTAAGGTTTCTAAGCAAAGTTTTTATTATCATGCATCACAGTGGTTTCTAATTGCCCATATATATATAGATAGATAGATATATATAGTGCTAATCACACAAAGTAGGGCACTTTCTCATTCAAGCGTCTCTCATTACAGAAGAAAATAATGTGTAAATACAAGGCTGTGTGGAGAATACAAATAAGTACAACAATGACAAAATATCAAAAAGCAGATCACATAAATACCTGTCTCGGTCAAAAAATAACTTATGACCTTTGTTTATTGAAACAAGAAAGTAGCCTACGTGATTGACATTTGTCAACTGACTTTCGCCATTCACGTCATTGGTTAGCAACTAATGACGTCGAAATAAATCAGTATGTTGTTGATATAAAAGCAGCACCGAATTCAACATCTAACATATTCAACCGAAGGCCTACTATACACTACTTGCTTTGCTTAGCAACTCTCAGGAAAATAAACATGATTCAGGTAAGACTGCAAAAACTTTCTGTTTTATTTCTCGGTTGTTCTATGTGTAGAATATATAGAACAATATTTCCTTATATAGTTCTATATTTCCTTATCAGAGGTTTCTCTTGGTCAGTGAAATGTTCTAATAATTAGAAAGTAAAATATATTACGGACACGAGAAAGCAAGCAACATGTTGTTTTATCTTTGTTATGCTTACTTTGTAAGTGCAGTTTTATAACACATGCTCATTAATCATGCTATTTTTATTATCCTTGTATAAATATTATGTTTGATATTGTGAACGTTTTTTTCAAGTAGCTAAAGTACATGTAGTTAGTTGTAATATTCAATATGTCATTGTACATTATTTCATCTAAAAAACTAACAAGTAGTGGCAATTATCTGTCTTGTCCCACTAATTTTTAACCGTTACTGTTTAATACTCAAAACGTTTCAAACAAAGGAAACACAATTAAAGCTAGCTATTCTTAGATGTATATAGAATATGGAAGAAATAATAAACATATAATATATCAGCTTGCATTTTCTTCCGACAACAAACAATTATTTTTTAAGAGTGAGACTTACAATAAAGACTAACTTCAGGCTTACACCTTTGAAAACTTAATCACAGAATAAGTCAAAACTTATATAAATAAAATAAATTTGTGCTGGTTTTATTTTAAGATAGTCATTAGGTGGCGTTACGCATGCTTTTCGTGCAGCTCGTTAGCTCGAGAGAATATATTTACGGAAAATAGAAGTGTAAGGTTATAGTCTCGTGATCAAAACAAAACAGTTGTTTGAAGCAATAAGTTCTAATTAGTAATTTTATATTTCCGTTTGAAACACCTCTCATTTTTTGTTAAAACATTTCAAAAACTTGTTTTTTTATTAGATCTTGGTTACTTTGGGATTTGTTGCTGCTGCTGCTAAAGCTAGTTATACTGGTAAGGGAGATTGGGGTGCTGGTGGATTTCTTGGTGCTGCTGCCAAATCCGGTTATACTGGTGGTGGAGGTGGGGGTGCTGGGGGATTTCTTGGTGCTGGAGGAGGAGGTGTAGGAGTAAGTTATATCAACCTGGTTCCTGTTCAGATTGTAAGTACTGATACCTAAACCAAAGAAACAAGACTAAATTTGTTTTCAGAATCTGAATTAAAATGCGAACAACATGTTTACATAAAACAAGAAGAGCTCAAAATTATACTATTATATTCTCCCTCTTCTTTTTAGAAATAACTCAAAATATGAAAATTTTAAAATTTAGTAGCTTATGGACATTAAAAACTCTTATTACACATAATAATAATAAACACAAAATTACAAATTATTCATGAATTGTTGTTTCATTTTACAATTAACAAAGGTATTTAAGCCTGCAGTTTTAAGTAATATTTATACATTTTAGCAATTAGAAACTTTCTGATTTCCAGGTTATATTATAAAATGTTAACTACACATGTAACTCTTCCTTAAATAGTAAATGGTTGTTGTTAAGTGTAACTAGTACAAGTATTTCTGTACAATAATCTCAGATGAAAATAAAACTAATATGGAATTAGAATAGACGGTCAGGTGAATAATATTTCCTTTTCGTAACAACAGAGGGCAGCAGGAGGTTATGAACAACAGCCAGCATACCCTTCCATTCCCACCCCTTACTCTTTCAACTACATTGCTCCGGCTGATGGAGGTTATAGCTCCCGCCAGGAATCAGGAGATGGATATGGTCGAGTGAGTGGGTCTTACAAACTTTCTGATGCAGATGGTAGACAAAGGAAAGTCCAATATACTGCTGGTCCGGAAGGATTCCGAGCTCATGTTTATACCAACGAACCTGGTACCAGAAGCGCAAATCCTGCTGATGTTATCTTCCAGTCTTCTGCTCCTGTTCCACCTCCTTATTACCCACCCAAACGATACTCCAGTTACAGAGCCTCTGCTACTAGTGGTCATCAAAAATTCATCCTTATTCCAGCTACTGACCCTTGGCAATAAGATAGATTTTCTTGTAAATTAACCAACTCTATGATATTTTAAACAGCATAAAAAATCTTGATCTAACCTTTCAATTACTTAAAATAGAGCAAGCTTTTTATGCCTTTAAATCATTTTTTGCACTACATGTTTAATGTGCCAATACTCTTAATTACTTACTTGTCTCCCTTTAAGCATATAGTTTTATACAAATCGGTGAGGTTTTTAGTTGGTACAACCAAAGTTTTAGCATTAAGTGTCATGTACTGTATATTTTTTGTTTATTGGTCTCTACAAATAATTCGAAAAAGGTTTATTTGCAAATAAATATATTTACTAGAATATGCATATATATGTGTGAATGCAACATTTGGTGACAAGTACTTCATGATTAATGTTATATAAAAGACATCTTAAAGTGTTATTGGGGTTTCAGTTATTTTCTCATGCTTGCTATACGAAGACCCAGAAACCAAGATCACCAGAAACGTTTTTGTTTTTGTTTTCATTTCTCCAAAAACGCTGCCATTTTTCAGTACAGATAAAAAGTTGTTATAGTTTGACATGATAAAAACCATTACTCGGCATTCTTTTAATATTTTTAGCCAAAGTTGACTGAATTTACCAAGAATATTAAAAATATAAGACCAAAAACAGTCTTCCAAAATCATTTTCAATCTTCATGATGCCCTCTGATAGCTATTCTGATGACCTATTCTGTAGTTTTGTGTTTAACAACGACAAAAAATTGTTTATGATCAAGAGTGAAGTTCGTTCTACTTCAGCCGTCATCGGAATAATTAGGTGTTTCCAAATCACTGGCTCATGTAGAAAATCTTCCAAATGTCTCGATGGAAGCAAGATTGTTTCTGACCAAATGAAGTACACATATTGTTACAATAGTTACTGTACATGGTAGTTGTTCCATAGCTATGCAGAGACTAGTAAGATACTTTCGCGTCGTTAACCCAAACTATTATAAATATAAACGTATGAGTACTTCAGTAAGAAACTTTATTAAGTGTAATGCCCCAAGTTAAAATAATACAATTTCCAATTTATTTTTGATATTTCCTTTTATAAATCGGCGGCAGTAATCAAGTGCTTTAGGCACTTCCAGCGAAAATAGAAGACAACTTGAAGTTTTCTTTTTATCACAGTTTTAATTTAAAGAAACATGATGTGTAAACATTTACTTTGGGAGTTGATTTATAAATAAATAAAGCTGTATCAGAAGACTTCTCAATAACGAAAAGAATTTATGATAAAATCGTGCTGAGTTTCTCGACTCTGTTAGCATGCTCGAACTTGAAATATAATGATTCATGGTTCGCGTCCTGTTGTTACAGAAACGCCCTCCACACTTTGGGGACCTAAAAGAATAGCAACTAAGAGTTTGTGACTGGTATTTTTTCCTCTAGTATATCAGTTAGGAATTAGTGACGGCTAGGCGCAGATAAATATTTTTGTGTGAAAATACTAAAAAATAAACATCATGGATAAGATATTACGAAGCTTTTTAAATTGTTAATTTTGTTATTCTACCAAATTATAGAAGAGAAGTTTTATATAATAGAAGGCAGTAGAGTTTCATGGAATTATTTGTTTGTTAGTTGACCTTCGCGTCAAGCTACTCGAGGTTTATCTGCACTAGCCATTCCTACCTTTGAAGAGATACACTAAAAGGAAGGCAGTTAGTCAACATCACCCACTGCAAACTTTAGGGTCAATCTTTACCAACGAATAGTGGGATTGATCAAAAATTCTAACGCCCAAGACCTGAAAAGGAGAACATGTTTGACGTCCTAACTACCATACCAGATCGTTTAATAGTAATGCCTAACTAAACATTTTTTTTTTCAAAGATATCGTTTAAGTTTTGCTTTAGAACATATTGGATCCCACGAAGATGAAATTTACGGTAAATAAAAAATATTGTATTGCTTCGAAGTTGTACATTATTTCTTTTACTACTGTCGTTTCGCCGAAAAATATGTAAACGTTTTTTATTTCTCTTGTTGCTCACTGTCAGTTGCACAAAACTAAGTTTTTCTTTGTTCATCGATTTAATTTTACTAGAAAAGTACGTATTTATTTGGTAGAAACATATAATTGAAGCAAAAATTATCAGGAATGTTTGTTTTTAAGTATGACTTACGAACAAATATTTATCAATGCTGTTTTCAAGTGTCATGGAACAATTGTTAGTTTCACCACATAACACTTGGATACAACAGCAAGTTTAATGGATTAGTTTTCAGATTTATCTAGTTATTTACGATTTCTTTCAGTAAAGTCCTTAAATAATCTTCAATAAAATAATTGAATTTATAGAAGTGTTTTTTAACGCTATTTGTTCGAATAAAAATCCAAAATAACTATTTGGATATTTCTATATAGAAATCATTTTAAGTCTATTTTCTATATAGATAAACTGAAAACACATACCTTGTAGAAAGAAAAAAGTGACATTTCTGAAAACTGTTTATATATGTATATTTTTGTGCTTTCGTTTCTGAGCTTTACATATATTTTTTTATGAACCACTATACGAAGAAATACAGTAATGCTTGCAAAATTACGTAAGGGCCATTTGAGTCGTCTCCCGATGGGACAGCGGCAAGTCTACGGAGTTATAGTGCTAAAATCCGGTGTTCGAACCCCACAGTGGACCCATCAGATAGTTCAATGTTACTTTGCTCTAGAAAAAAACAATAATCAAAAACTGCTTGTGTCTTACTTTTCTTAATCAGTATTAATTATAAAAAAAAAATTATTTTCGTGGATTCTTATCAAGACGCCAATTGTTGTAGGTATTACTTTACAAAATGACTAATAATTTATCAGCAATCAAATATATAAAAAAGTGCAATACAGTTTCCTCTGTATTATCTTAGCTTCTAATTCTAGTAGCTCCAAAAACCATAATACTTTTATTACAAAGAACTTTCCAAATGACCATAAAGCTACTCAATTCCTTCTTTCACGAAAACTCAGTATAGCTTCACTTACTTCTAATGTTTTGCTGAGAGTGACATAAACCCACTCTTATCTTAACAGACTATATGTGTATCATAAATTCTTTATTACATGTCAAAAACTCATAATCTTTCCAACTGGATTCTCCATTTTACTAGTATGCTATAAAAACTGTCTTCAATGTCAGAATTTGACCGTTTCGTTAAGCTAAGGCGATCCACTCCTTCCTTCCTTCAAAAAATATTTATACCTAGCAATCGATGTGTTCGAAGGAAAAAGAAGTTTGATTATAAATAAGATTACGACCCTTCTGATATACAACATTGTTTATTGACAAAAAGGGGACATGGATAAACGTTTCGGAATTCTATCAGATTCCATCTTCAGTATCTAAAGCAGAATAAAATGAATTTACATCAGTCTTCATACATTTTCAAAGTACAGTTGCTAAACAATAACGATAATTAAACAAATAAAACACTAAACAGTAATTATGGGGAGAAACTACAGCAAGAAAACACAACGAAAAGAAAAAAAAACGAAAAATCAGTAATACGAACATATTAAAAAATGTATAACTTAAATGAAGACTGCATGTTGTTCAGAGTTGGAGAGTGCTGCTTGATGTGCCTTAGGTAGCTTTGTGCTTAAAACAAACAAACATGATACGCACATAAATTTAAAGATTAACATGCGTAATTTGATTCCAGGTTCTTTCTTCGGGCAACCGATTACTCTAATATTTCTTCCAAAAATAAGCGGAAATAATTCAGGAAGCTCAAGAAAAGATAGAAGCTTCCTCGTAATTTTCACAGAGGCAGTCACAAATGGACGTAGCCATAATTTCGTTATTGTGATATAACGACCAGAGGCATCGCTAGGCACTCACACTAGAACCGTATCCCGATTCTGTATGACAGGGCCCCAAATCTTCAGTTGATGTCTTGAAAAATCAGAATAGAATAATGTAATCGATATTATACTGAAACGCCGAAAATTCCCGCGTCTATGAGCCCGAGCCCCGAATCATTTAAACGCCTAGCGACACCTCTGATCACGACGCTAATATATAGAAAACCCCACCCCACCCCAGGAGGAACACTAACGTTGTCTCTATGTGATATTAGATTACAAGCACGTACACTTATTGCCTTATACGGGTATGAAGTAATCATTTCTTATGTGGCCTAAAACTGTCAAAAAGTTAAAAAATAATGTATATTTGAGGTGGTCAAGTTTTCAAAAATATACAGTTTGATATATTATTATTATTAATCATTTATCAGATGGTCCCAACTGCTCAGAAACCTACTTTAAATGTTGAAGCGTGTGTATGGGAATTTCTTCCAGCAATATATATATTATCGTAAACAACTTGAAATTACGCTCATGTAAAAGCAGAATATTCTACAAAACACTGTTGGCATGGTCACTTGTGAAACGAAGTGTGATTTTTTCATTAAATATGTCAAAAACGGTCAGAATATTTAGAATCTGCTTCTTCCACAGGGTATATCAAGTGCGTCTACGTTCTATTTTAAACTTTGTATGAGAATAGTGTAGCAGATACTATTATATTCCAATTGTATGAAATGTAATGATGAGATATCTTACACCTAGAACTTGTTTTATTGTCAAATACTTACCTAAAGCGATAGTTAGAAATGGTTTTTAATTACTTAATTTCTATACACGCTTATAACTAATAGGAACGACAAAGTGTTAGAAAAAGATTTGTTTTTACTGTTTAGGAATATCGCAACTACTTATAATGCATAACGCTTAGCACATAAAAATTGAAGCCTACTTTACATACCTGACATAATAATGAAGAGCTTACGAAAGTTGGAGAACAACAATAGAAGCCGATTTCTAAAAACGCTCAGCAAAGTCCTTCGTTTGCAAAGAAATCAACGGGTTGAAGTTAAACACAAAACACTTGAATAGCAAACCTGTTTGGCAGGTAACCAACCACCAATCAGAGCGAGAGCGAGCTTCGCGCCAATCAACGAGAGCATTTTTAAAAAGTCGATTCCGTTCCACGGACTAATAGTGCGAGCATGCATAAGTGAAGCTAGTGAAAATATACGAGCTCATATTACCCCATGAATTGAACATGGCATGAAAGGGGTATGTCAATTAAAACTGCGGACAATGGACAAAATCTAACATACTGTGAGTAATGTAACAAGGGTTATTATCTAGGATTCAGTAAGAGAGGGAGGAAGAGGTCAACGCT